GAAGAAAATGAAAAATATCTCAATTTAAAAATAATTGACCCATAAAATAGATCCAGGAGTGATAATTTAAGAATTACTGGACTACCTGAAAGTCATGAACAAAAGAGAGCTTAGACATAATATTTCAAGAAATTATCCAAGAAAACTACCCGGAATCCTAGAAACAGAGGATAAAATAGAAATTCAAAGAATCCAGCAATAACTTCCTAAAAGAGATCCCAAAGTGAAAACCCCCAGAAATATTATAGCAAAATTCCACAGCTACCAGGTCAAGGAGTATGGAGTTGTAATATAGGAAGAGTCCAAGAGACATAATTTCTGGCTCATTAATAATCAATTTTAGTAATTATGTCTAGAAGATAATTAATACAATGATGGTCACTTGGCTTTCTCTTGCAAATCAAAGAAAATTCATGGAATCCCCTCAATTCTTGTACATTCTTGAAAGATTTGGCTTTCTTACCAGTTGGAAATCAACCCTGCTTGACTAAGAATTAATAAGACAATGAACATGATGGATGTCTAGGGAAACTAAGTGTCAATAGAGAAAAAATACATACTTTTCTCAGTGCCACCTATACAAAAACTGACCATATATTAGAACATAAAAAACTCACAATCAAAAGCAGAAAAGTAGAAATAACAAATGCATACTTTTCAGATCATAATGTGATAAAAATACATTCAATAAAGAGCCATATAAAGATAGATTAAAAAATAATTGGAAACTAAATTATCTAATACTGAACGAATGGGTTAAAGAACAAATAAAATCAATAATTTGATTAAAAAGAATGATAATTATGATAAAATAAATCAAAAGTCATGGGATGGCACAAAACCAGTATTTAGAGGAAAATTTTTTTCTCTAAATAATTTCATCAATATGATATAGAAAGAGCAGATCAATGAACTGGGCATGAAACTAAAAAGAAAACCGAAAAAAAACAACAAATTGAAAACGGTCAATTAAACACCAAATTGGACATCCTGAAAAACAAAGGGAGAATAACAAAATTGAAAGTAAGAATAGCATTACACTAATAAATAAAAAGGAAAACAGTTTATGTAAAAAAAAACAATAAAATAGATGAGTAATTGGTTAATTTGATTTTTAAAAAAAGAAAACCAAATTACTTGCATCAAAAATGAAGAGAGTGAAATCAACACCAAGTAAGTGAAAATTAAGCCAATTATTAGAAGCAAATGTGCCCAAAATATATGCCAAAAAATCTGACAAGCTAGCTGACATGGATAAATATTTACAAAAATATAAAATTTTCCAATTAAAAGGAGGAAATACAATATTTAAATAACTATGTCTTCATAAATGTACATATATACATATATTATATATATTGAATATATCATTAATGAACTCTCTAAGAAAAAATTTCCAGGGAATAATTGATTCATAAGTTAATTCTACTATTTGAAGGACAATTATTTCCCAATACTTAAAAAAAATTATTTGAAAAAATAGGCAAAAAAGGGACACTATTAAATTCCATTTATTGGATAAACATTGTACTGATACCTAAACCAGGAAGGATGTGAAAAGGAAAAGGAAAACTACTTTGTGACACAGAAAAGCAGAGTGAGAAGTTTCATGTATAAGAAGAAAGGAAATGGAAGACAGAGAAAAGTAGGAGATACACTTTTACCAGGAACATGACTATGGATTAGCAAGATGGTAAATCCTGTAATTTCTTGGCAAGAGAGTTGCTATAGAAGAAGATAGACTCATTAGAGAAGACATACTAGAACCAGGACACCAAATAACAAAGTCCATTAGAGTTGGAAATGGGAGAGTTTGATAAAGAGCATAATTATGGGGGAGGATTGTGCTGCTGCAGCGAGAGCCAAGGATGTGGCTTTGAGTTTACGGCAACAGAAGTCCTTTTCTCTGAGGTACAGTTCCATCAACAAAGATAGCATCAGCTACATACTTTGGAACATGAGTTCCAAGGGACAGCCAACACTGAGTAAAGACTATGATGGTTGAGAGATAAGGAAGGGAAAAAAGGCTGTTATGGCATTAGGGGAAAAGACTATGGTAAGTGCAAGAGGTGGGGACAGGCATAGTTATTTGGAACCCAGAATGAGTCCTACAATAAAATGTGACACCGATTCTTCAAAAATATTTTTTTTTTCCAAATCGAGATGATTGACACAATGAAAACCTCAGTGACGCTGATAATGATGTTCTGGCTACAAATGAAAGCTGGAGGATAGGAGTTAAAGTGAGGAACACGGGAGACTACCAGTTTCCACTATGAAAAAAAAAAGATTCAAGATTTTAGAGAATACAGAGAAGCAGAAAGTTGCTTGCTACAAATAAAGAGAACATTTACCCATGGATCAAAAAACACCAACTCCTGCAAAGAGCCAGCCCAGATGAGACAGGGAGTGACTCCATGCCACACCTTCTGTTTGCAGAATCACTTCTGTCTCCTCAGTCCTTCCTTTAGAAGAATGAATAAATCACCCTGTCTGTTTCCAGAGTTCCAAGTGCCGAACTGTTAGAAGGCAGAGAGTGTATGAACAGCCCTGTCCTCACAACACCACATTACATAAAGGAACTGGAACATATTCTAGTGAAGCACTAGACCATCTCGTATGAGAGCATAAGAAAGAGGACCCGCATGAAGAACTACAATTTCTGGTTCAAACAACCAGATTTTAGTCTGCACACTTGTTAAAAATGCAAGAGACATTTGTTCAAGTGTTTATTTTGTGCGTGGTAATAATGTGCCAAGAGCTTGGGACATAAGTATGAGAAACAGAAAAATAGAATCAATGCCTTTAAGTAGCTTATCATATAATGGGGGAAGACAACCCCATACAAAGAACAGAAAAATGAGGAGAGGAGAAGGGAGAAGGTCCTTTTGGGTGCTGGGCATAATGTGGAAACCCAGAGATTCAGAAGACCTGGAGACCTTTCTCAAAGGGAGGGTCTGTCAGGAACTCTCAAATGGCCAAGAGAACTCTAAGGGTTGTGGGAAATTTCAGGGTAAAAAGGCAACTTTAGGGTTAGAAAAATCATCTAAAGAGATGACGAAAAAGAATATTTTTGTATATGAAACACTTTTGGACTGACAATTCCTTTACTTAGATCAGCTAACTCTTTGAAGTGGGTATCTCAGTTGGATTAGGTCCATGACTTGGCTTGGCTATTACTATTCTCTCTGCTACAAACTCAAGGTGATAAGGGGAACGAAACATTCAACCTTTCAATACTTAAGAGTTAAAAAAATTATTCTATATTATGTCTAGATACGTATTGACAAATGCTAAAGAAAGGGAAAAAATCAGAAGAAAGACGCACAGTATGTTTAGGTATGTGAGGGATTGAGAACTAAGTTCAAGACATGCTTCTTGGTTCTCATTTGAGAACACAACAATTTCAAGAACTGATTTCATTGCATGCCTGAGTTCCAAGAAGTGAGTTTGTCACATGTCTGAGTTTAATGGAGGGTGAAGGGGAATGGCCAATAAGACTAGGTCCATCAAGCATGAGGAGACTTCCTCTGCCTGCCAACATTTGAAACTATGAAACTTCGGAAGAAATTTAGGCCTTGCTGATTCAGAACTTCCTAGGAAGTGTTTCATACCAGGACTCAATAGTTCCCTCTCAGCCATTCCTGTCATGTCAGGAAGCACACTAATGAACTTATACTATCTATCCTCTTTAACCTGCCGACGTGATACCCTGTGGGCCTAAACAAGGGACTTCCCACTATAACTAAAGAGCCTTCTCATCCTGGAAGGTCAGTTTTGCTCTGTCACCACTTCCACTGATTAATTGGTCAGTTCCTCCCAGAACCTCTTACAATCTAACTTTCCAGAATTCTTCTCCACCATTCCCCACACAAGTACTTACATTTTATGCCAAATCCCCACCTTGAAGCCTTCTTTGATGTGTTATCCCCACATAATAGGACATAAGCCTATTGAGGTCAAGCACTGCACTTGTAGTAAATATATCTGTATGCCTAGTGTGTACCACTGAGCTATTGTTGTTTGTCCTTCCTTATTGAGGAGGACCATGACATCAGGGAGATGTTGCCATGACATGCAAGTGAATTGGATTAAAGTGAGGGAAGACTGTGTAGTTACCAGCCTCATTTTCTTTTCCAGAGTCATCTCCAATGGAGAGATATAGATCAAGACCACTAGAGATGGCCCTGGATGAAATGGGGGACATTGACCTTTTTTTTAAGCTAAGGTCTTTAAAAGGTCTCAGTTTGATGAGGAAGTATCCATTTAGATTAATTCTAAGTAAGAAATGAGGCAGAAAATGGCCTCTTTACCTAGTAAAAAAAATAGATCTGGGAAGGGAAGTCTCTCAGAGTTTCTGGCCAAAACAGTAACAAATGCTATTTATATTCACTTGATAAAAAATTATTTCTTAGAAATAACTTAAATTCAATATATAAAGTGTTTCTGATTTGAAGTAATACATCATATATTTGTCAAATTAGGCCCTGATTCAGGAAGGAAGCCAATTCTCAGCCCAAATTGGAAGATCACTCTAAACAGAGATTTGCATGGTGCTTGTTTGCCTAGAGTGCTAAAGGAAGGGAAAACACACAAATCAATTTGTAATTGAAAAGGAATAGATCCCTTTCCCTGGAAATTTTCTGAGGCGAAGAAATGAGAAATCTTTCTTCCATCTAAACTCTTCAGAGTTCTATTCCAATATAAAAGATGAACTAGTAGTGATCCTTAGTTGGGCAGATTTTTACTTGGCTCAAAACCAACAAGGTTGACCCATTATAGCACGAGCTCATCTAGAGGACAGAGTGAATTTTCTAATTGAACAGACCGTCCCCCCGCCCCCTTTTTGTATCTCCTGTTGTCAGAATAGTGCCTAGACCTTCTTGATAACTGTTTATTGACTCACTGATGCTGCATGAGAACAGACTATAACAGATTTGCTTTTTTTAATACAAAGAATATATTGGATGAAAATTAATGACAGTATTGGGTTCCCTTACCTGTGGAACTTTGTAAAGTTTGAGAATGGTGGCCATGGACATGGACAGTGTGGATGACATCCCTCCAATGACAGCCACTGAATTGGGTTGCCTGTCACAACTGTAGTTTGGGATGGCTGGACCCCTCCCTGACAGCCATATCAAGGAGCTCTCCACTGCTAGTCTGTCATGATGGAAGTTATTGAGCAAATGATAACCCAACGTTATGTTCGGCAGCAAATGGGGATTCTTGTTGATCTCATCCACGGCAAATTGGAGAACAAGAAAATGTTGGTAATGTTTGAGAAATACCCTAAAATGAGAGAAAAAAATGTAAAGAACCAGGCAAACTCTATATGTGCAGAAAGAACAAAGTGTAATAGTGGATGGATTGTTGGACATGGAGTCAGGAACTCCCGTGTTAAATCTTGCCCCTAACATTTATTAACAGTGTGGTACTGGGCAAAATATTTCACCACCATGAGTATCAGTCTCCACATCTATGGAATGAGGGACTTGAGAGGGAGATGAGAAAATGAGCTGCACCTTTGAAAAAGTTCTTGCAGATGCTAAAGCACTCCTTGAAGGATTGCTTGAGCACGACAATGCAGCCAAATCTCTGATTAAACAAACTACAGCTCTCAACAAGGGAATAGAAGTAATGAAACAGTATCTAGAAGAAATTCAAGAACTTAATGAGGTTGCAAGACGCCCACCAGGATCTACTTTAGTTATGGGAATTCAGCAAGGAAACAGACAAATCAGAGAATTGCAGCAAGAAAATAAAGAATTAGGCACATCTCTTGAAGAACACCAGTCAACTTTAGAACCCATAATGAGCAAATAAGGAGAGCAGATGTTTAGGTTCCTTATGGCCGGCAAAAAGGATGAACCAGATATTAAACTGGAATGGAGGAATGTTGCTCCTTGGAATGGAGCAACATTCCAAGGAATTACAAGACCTGTGGACCAGATTACCGCAATGGCAGCAGTAATGAGAAAAGCTATTGAAATTGATGAGCAGCAGGGTTGCAAGGAGCAGGAATGAATATTTCAAATTGAACAAGAAAACAAAGGCTTGAGAGAAATCCTTCAAATAACTGGAGAATTATTCCTGAGCCTCAAGAAAGACGATGCATCAGAGAGTACATCTTTGTCAGCATTGGTAACCAGCAGAGATTTGAGCCTGAGGAAGAGCTAAAGAACCTGGAAAATCATGAGCTTCTATCGCACGGCTCCTAATAAGGAACCAGGGTTTACTTAAAAAAGGTTAATGAATTGAGCACCAGAAAAATTACAATCTTAAATCAGCCCTTCATTTCATTCTTTTTATATTATGTGTCGTACACCGGCAAATGACATTTTAAAAAGATAGCAGCAGAAGATCAATATTGAGTCATCATTGACTTTGTTATTCCTATTAAAGTTTTTAATGAAAAAGTGGAAACTTTAAGCTATTGTTATTAGATAAATTAAAGTTCTGATATATAGAAACTACTGATCGTACTAGGCCCCTGCCACCATGTTATTTTTCTTAACTTTTTTTTATCCAAATATTAAGTACACATAAAGCTCTACATAGAATTTATGCAATTGTACCATTTTTTTTAAAAAATCCACATTTTCTTAGCTTGGACTTATAGAAAAGGAAGTGTGTCCATTCCTAAATTTGATATGAAGGCTAGCAAACGGTAATATATTTTACATGTACTGGGCCTACCTTTACATTTCTTAAGAAATGCCTTTCAAAGATGTCAAGCTTATCCAAAAACGTTTAAAAGATTGACAACATTTTGGTTTTGTGGCATAGGCCATAAATTGTTTGATCTTCAAGGCTAGATCCTAAGAGGTGCTTTTGTTTTGGCCAGCAGCATACCAGAGTTGATCATGACATTTTGGGGAATAACTGTCCATAACTTACTGAAGGTGAAGAAATGTAGAAACTATCTTTTCAGTAATGCAACACAAAGCTATACTACTTTCTGAGAAAGAAAACCATATAGAAGACAAGATTATTCAGTAGGTTGAACTACTACTTTAGAGGGGGAAAGGTTAGGTTTGGATTCCTGAATAAATATTAATTTGGTCAGATTTGTTTTCTGGTTGATTTTAGGAATATTAATCTGTCCATTACCCACCTGTCTCAGTTGGAAGGCCTGATATAGCTAGCCAGGAATAGAGAGATTTGAAGTGGGCAAAAACGAATAAACAACAACAACAAAAAAAAAAAAACAATGTATTTATTTTAGCCTTGTTAATAGTAAACATCAACTTTTACCTAGTTTATAAAAAGAAACCTTCATTCCCTATAAAAGCTTGTTTTTCTTATTAGATGCCAACGGGAGCAAAGAAAGTCTCTCTGAATCTGCCCTTTAGCTCATCTGTTCCCAATAACTTTCAGATTTTTTATGGCCATCACAATGAAACAGGTATTTGGGAATAGTTCATTTTCTTGGATTTTATAAAAACTGCCAGTTATTTACTACTGTGAGAGATGATCTCTGAGGATTTCTCAGGAGTGAAGCCTCCTCAAAGAGTTAATCGTTTCTTATTCCGTGGAAACATTAGCAGCCGGTTGACCTCATAAGGAAACATGCTTTTCAACACATCCAGTACTTTACCAGACCACCCCCCCCTTCCCAAACTTGTTTTTTGGCAGGGGAAGGAATAACACACCCCTCCCCCCTTCTAAAACTGTTTACTCTTGCAAAAACTTCCCACCTTTCTTTGTCTCCTTGTGTAACTGTCTTTGTTCTCTGTTGCTGGGGTAGGCTTTCTGCTAATGGACTGTGCCCTCAAGGCTTGCACCAGTGAGCTGAGAGGAAGGGGGTTAAGGAGGCAGAGTTGAGGTTAGGGGCTATTTAATCTTTCTTTGCTGAGCACACCCTTGCACTCTTCCACCAGAGCCATTTTTGGTGGACAGAGGGTGCCCTTTCTCTAGAAAGCTAATAAAGAAACCTTTCTCTTTGCTGCATCTGAGTCTCCAGAATTTATTTGTAAGGGTCTTCACATCCCACACATTACCACCATGTGAATTTTCAAAACAGACGACCAAGTGAAAAAGTAATTGAAGTTTGGACCATTATTTAAATAAAAGATGTAGTAGAAACTAAGCTTTCTCAAATGAGCACAGATTGCAAATTCCTTTTAGATCCTCTGTTAAAATAATACTCGTATACCAGAATCTGTTAGTGTGCGAAGACTCACATATTGTTAAGAATAAAAGCAACAACTGTTTCCTCAAACTTACCTTCCCGAACATTGGGTGTTTTTTTATTTAAAATAAAACATTATTCCAGAGATCTTAGTGAAGATTTGCAATAAAAAAAAAAGATATTTTTTTTTCCTGAAATTGGTAATTGTCTTCTACCTTACTTTGATAAGAAGCAGTAATTGGCTTGGTGGCAGATTTCTCCAAATAATTTTGATTTTATCCCATTCAACTTAAAAAAAATAAAACAAACAGCACTGTTAAGATTTAGTATGTGGCAATCTTGAGGCAGCTATTATTAAAAAATGCTTGATGGGTATTTTTATAAATAAAGTTGTGATTTAATTTATCTCCTCTTGACCATCATAGATATATTGTGTTTTTTGAGATTTAATTTTAGGGTTTTACAGAGTGTCATTTTGTGTAATAAGTTTTCATCACATATGCATTATTTTTGTAATCGAGAAGCTTGAAATGTGTATTGTATAATTTTATCAATAAAGGTGATTGATAAAATTAAAAAATAAAAAGGTCACAAAAGATGGTGAAGGATAATAAATATAGGGGCCCAAGGAATGAAGATGTTAAATGCTTATGAAGTTTACCTTTCACCAGAGACGTACCAGAATATGATTCAAATGCAGCAAATAGGGAAGTGTCATGCCAAGTGTTTTATTTTATGAAAATCCTTTTGCTTTTTTTGTTTTTGTTTTAGGCAATTGGGGTTAAGTGACTTGCCCAGGGTCACACAGCTAGTAAGTGTCAAGTGTTTGGTCTGAGGCCAGATTTGAACTCAGGTCCTCCTGACTTCAGGGCTGGTGCTCTATCCACTGAGCCACCTAGCTGCCCCAAACATCCCCTTTACATCATTGGGGAGACTAGCAAATGCCAGAAGAGATATATAGGAGAAGAGCTGTTTATGCTCCATAGAAGAGATGACCAATTCTTGTCAGGAAGTCATTGATTGAGGGGAAAAAGAGGGAGCAAGGTAAAATATTGTAGTTTGGCAGGCATTATGAATAGAGAAATGATTGGATATGTATTTTCATCAGAAACTAGATTAAATGGAGAATGAGCATTTATGTGAATACTACATTGAATATAGGAAAAAGGGAAGGAACAAATCCAACTAATAGCTTCTGTTTTCTCAGTATATTTCAAGGCAATGTCCTCAGTTGAGAATGTGGAAAATCAGGTGATTTTAGAAGTTTGCAAATGCAAATAAAGATTTCGAAAGCTGCTGTGGAAAGAAGAATAAGTAGTCACTTGGGAAGCAGTGCCTGGATTACCTTGCCTTAGTGAGAGCCTAATTGAGGTGACATAATGTAAATTTGTAGTAGATCCATTCTACAATGCTTTATGATTTTTTTAAGTCTGTTCAATAGCACCTGAGTAGTATTTGAAGAAGTAGATACTGGGAGTAATTGGGAATTAGGGTTTGGCAAAGCACAAATAGAAGTTATTGGGACTGTTTGGGAAATCACTTAATCATAGAATTTCCACAGTGGAAAAGACCAACTCTTGATCCAACTTCATGGTTTTATCATCCAATTATTTCTTATGTGTGTGTATGTATAAGTGTGTGTGTGTGTGTAAATATATGTGTGCATATATATGTATAAATCTGTGTATATGTATATGCACATATATAAACATTCATACATATATATCTATATATATGTATATAAAAACACCCATTATGGTCATCACTGTTCTAAGTGCTAGAGATTAAAATAAAATGTTTTAAAATTCTGTGTATGTCTACTTTTTGTTTGATTGATGAGAAACCACCTATACACATACTCAAACAAAATAAAGATACACAATATGTACATAAAAATGAATGCAATGAACTTTTTGTGGTTTGGTTATACTAACTGGAAAATTCAGGGTAAACTTCTTGTAGCAGGAAGTACTCAAGATCAACTTTAAAAGCAGTAAAGGATTTTGAATTTCCAAGTCCATGTGAAATCATCTTCCAAGCATGGGTAACTGCCTATGCAAAGATATTTATAAAAGGACGTATGGTTTCATATATGAGTTGCAGCAAGTAAATCAGGTGGGATTCAATGTAGATTCCTTGAAGGGGGAGTGTTGTGCAATAAGTCTACAAAAAGAGATGAGGCCTGGGTCAGAGACTGAAAGACTATTGTAATTTAGTAGATGAGCTCTTATTCTCTCTTATAGACTTTGAGTACCCAATGATATTCTTTGGGCCTAGAACAGAGGAGTTATATGGGCACGCACTCCAATGTTTTCAAATGCTGTTCTGGCAACTCTGTGAAGACTCAAACCATTCATCACCAAGGTTAATATCTATGAAATATATGATGAGGGGTCTTCTGCCCCTTTATTTAAAATTCCCGTTGAGGAGGATCCCACAATAACCAATGGTAACCCATGCCATATTTGCATAACTTGAATCATTAGAAAGTGTTTCATTTCATCACTCCTAAACATGGCCAACTATCTCTCTTAGTTATGACCTGGAGAACTAAGCCAAAAAATATTTTTGTAACAGGTATCATGTTCCCCTTTGGCTTTTTTAAACCACTGTGATTAATTCCAAATGATTTACAGGTGCCATTGACTTAAGGCCTTTTGCCATACTTCTTGTCCTTTTCTACTTCCTCTCAAACTTTTTGTATTATTTTCTACAGTGTCGTGCCCAGAAAGTAGCATAAGAAAGCTAATGTAGTGTGACTAGTGTATTGTTCTTAGAGACAATCAAAATCTTTGTAATAGAGAATTCTTCTCTTTAAATCACTTAATAGTTCACCACAATCCTCAAACTGTTTTTGTGATAGTAACCACACCTCAGTGCTGGTAATCTTATGTTTTTGATTTTGAAGGCAGAATGAGGAATGCATTTACCATTATTAAGATTCTCCTTATTTGGTTCAGAGCCATCCCTGAGTGTTCCAAGGTTGTGTAATGTCCTGAATTCCTTGTGCCATATTATATCAAACCTTCCCAGATCTGTGTCATCTGCAAATTTGATAAACTCCTCTCTTGTCCTTCACCAAGTCCGTGGTGCTTGAGTCATTTCATTGGAAACGACTTGGGTTTTTCCCAGTATATATAGAAAATGGATTAGTAACAAACTTTTTTGGCTTTTGAAAAAGAAAAATCCCAACAGTTAATATTTTTAAGATAGATAAACTTTCCTCATGTGATTGTTGCACTATCTTCTCCATTCACAGAGTAGATGTGTGATCAAAATAAAGACAAAATGAAGAAATTCTGGTAGAAAAGAAGGAAATAACCTACAGTATTTAATTAGAGGAAGAACTGAGAAGGAAAACTTTGAGGGAAGAATAACCTGCCATGCAAAATGGAGAAGTATTAAATGAGAGTAAAGGAAATAGTTGTCAGAGATTTCCAAAGCCCAGGTCTTAGCAAAATTTCACCTGATGGGTACATAAGACACAGAAGGAACTAGAAATATTGTGCCTTTCACACACCTCATTTAGGAGCTATCCTAGAAGAGAGCCCACTGCCATTATCACTGACCTCATTGTAATTCTCTCCTAAGCACCATTCCCAATCCAGTCCAATCACTATGTACCCCTCTAAAATTTCAAAACCAAATTTAAGAAATAGTAGGAACGGAAAGGAAAGAAAGTGAAGTAAAAGGATTTGGAGTAATAATGACTATTGAAAGGATTGCATTGAATCCCAGACTCTAAACCTTCAAAAGGAGAAGCCTCATTACTCAGAAGAGGAATTATTTGCACAAATCATCATCTCAAATATAGGCAACATTACAATGACAGTAAATAAAGCAATTCTTGATGCCAGGGTCATTTTTAATTCACTAATTCCCTAGCTCATGGACTGTACATGGTGTTCTGCTTGCACATTTGAGAGAAATTGCCGTATAGTTTATATTAGGTAGACATAGAAGGATTAAAAACTCAGTGTGGTTAAAAAAACTTGTTGATTGTCTGATCATTATGGCACTTGTGGTCATTGTAAACTTTATATCATTTGATGTTTTAGATATATTTTAGTTTTATACTCATACTGGTAGAGCTCCAATATGGAGTCACTCAGATCATGTGGTCCTAAATTCCATCAAAGTTTATAAGCAAAGATAGGCATTTTGCCTTTTCTCTGGTAACTGTATCTGGCAGATGAGGCTTGATGTTTAGGATTGGATGAAACTGTGCACTGACTTGAGTATTTTGAATTCATTGTCTTTTCTGGTGCCTAAGATAGTTAATGCTAAATCCTTCCCCAGTTTGTGGCATAAAGATTCAGAAACTCCCTCTACCCAAACCTCACCCAAGCTTAACAGTCATAAGTGACCTTGAGCACTTCCTCCTCCCATATGGGTCCAATAAGGAATATTTACTCCCGTATTTGACACCAATAACCAGTTGTGAACCAGCCCATTCTTAGGAAAGTGAATTTTGCCACCTGAACCCCAACTTTGAGTGTATTTCCTCCTTGATGTGTCTCTCGCATCCTTATAGTGGGTGAGATTTTTCATTTGTCAGATGAATTTCTGACTGTTTAAAATGCTGTACATGAGGGGCAGCTAGGTGGTGCAGTGGATATAGTACGGGCCCTGAAGTCAATAGGACCTGAGTTCAAAGCTGGCCTCAGACCAAACACTTGACATTTACTAGCTGTGTGACCCTGGGCAAGTCACTAAACCCCAATTGCCTAAAAAAACAAAAAAAAAACAAAAAACAAAAAAAAATGTTGTACAGGGTATGCATGGATAGCGCCTATTTCTCTGCTTGCTGCAGTGAACATTAATGAAACCTTTAATTTATCAGCATCCTGAGCACCAGGCTTCTAAACATTGTCAAACCCAGGTATTTGCTTTAAAAATGCTGTGAGGGTAAAGAAAACACAACCAAAAATCAACAAACAACTCAGTCAGAAATATGGATGACTATTTCATCAATCAGAAAAATAAAAATAACCACTTACTGTGTAGATGGAGCAGTCCAAGTTGGAGGACTTTGGAAGAAAACCTTGTCATTTAGTTGCACTAACTTTAGTTATAAGGAGAAGAAGCCCCCTATGACTAAGTCCCCTTCTTTTCTATATATGGGACTGTAAGCTCTTTCTATATGGCAAGGACTCTTCTGCATGTGGTACTCAAAACGAGAAAATTGCAAAAGCAGGATCACAAATACCCTTGAGAACAAAAGTTCCAGTTTCTCCATGCCCGTGGCCAATATCCCAGATGTCTAAAGAGCCAGGGAGCAGGGCACTGGGAGATGACTAGGGATTGTTGTTCATTCAACTACAGGCACATTCTGTGGTTGCTAAAGATTTTTCTTTCCTAATGGATACTCAAACTTTGAACAGTCCTTCCCCCTTGGAAATGCAGGATGCGAGACATACAGCAGGCCTCTGTTTAGGACAAAGGCAAAAGCTAGTAAGAGTAGGGCATATTTATGGGGCAGTTTTGCCTCCTGGATATTATTCTCTGTGTTCCCTATGGATGAATTAGGAAAAGAAGACCATCTTCATGCCTCTCGAGCGCAAGTTAAACAATATGTTGAGCAGAGTCTGAGAGTGAGGGTCTCTTGGGACTGACCTGCCCAGAAACTCTGCACCTGCTTCCTTCATCTTGAAAGCTTAAAAAACTTAAGTATAAAAAAGATGTTTGTGAATCTCCTTCCCTGCCTTCAGTCCCTGGCGCCTTCACAGCTTCCATGGGTTCTGAGATGCCACGGGACCCTCTGATCTCTCTCAAGCTAGGTTTCTTGGGCCTTCCAGAATACTGCTTCCAGTCTCCCCATGCAAATCTCTTCAGTGACTTAAAATTACCAGATGTTGCATCAGTCAGAGGACAGTGTGACCTGACAAGGGCAGAGATTGTGAATGATAGTGATGAGGCCCACACCCACAATTTCCCAGAATGAGATGAATTTTACATTTGTCGCGCCTTGACAACATTAAACCCACTGCTTTGGAAGCGCACTCTAAAGGACTGCTGAATGAATGAATAATCATAATAAAATTAGAATTCTCAACAATGTTTTTAGGCTGATAAATCACATTCCTCACAAGGCTGCCTGTTACCTCACTAGTGGAAACCATGAGCTCAGTAGGGCAATTACCTCCCACAGCCAATTGAGAAGAATTGGAGAATGTGAAAGTGTCATAACTGAAATGAATGAAAAGTCAGAGAGATAGAGTTTCTGAGTAATTAATAACCAACTTATTAAAAAGCTAGCAAATAATCAATAAATTGGTGGTCAGTTGTCTTTCTCAGTAACCAAGGACAAAACCATGGAGACCACTGAATGCTCAAAAACGTTTGTAAAAGGGAGACTCCTGAAAGGTGAAAATCGACCTTGACTGATCAACTTGATTGATCAGTTAATGAGAGGGTAGATTTTTTCAAATGAGGAAGTGGGCTAAAAGCCCTCAGTCCTTCCTGTTGAGAATGTGGTTTGATCATAAGACTCAGTCACCTCCAGCAATCTGGACAGTGGAATCCATCTCTACCCAGACGACACAGGGTAGTTTTCTCCTTCATAAGCTGAGTTGCCCTACGTTCCAATGGGGGAATTCCAAAGGCATAAGCCTAGTGCTTTATGGCTGGAATTCACCTAGATTATATGCTGTTGACACTCTAAAGAGAAATGAGGTCTTCTACATGGAGAGGTTTGGGGGCAATCTTACCTATCAGTAAAGGGGATGGGCCATGAATATGGAAATAAAAGAAAATGAAAAACCTGGATCCCAAATTAATAATTGGTTATTAATATAATAGAAAAATAATCACTTTTCTCATACCAATATAATGCAAATTAATAGTACAAACAGACTATATGCAAAATAAACAGACAATAAGTAAAAGAGGGAAGGCACCAGGACAAGGGTGGGGAACTTTCAGTCATAAGGCACCATGTGGCCTTCTAGGTTCTTAAGTGCAGCCTTTTTGCCTAATCCAAATTTCACAGAACAAATCCTTTTATTTTTCTTAATGCATTTTGCTCATCTTTTACATTTATATTTTATTTTTAAAATGAACATATTTAAAATACCAAACAATAAAATAAGTTCCAACAAAATAATCCTTCCATATTGACCAGCATTATTAGAATATTAGTAAGTTATAAGGCTAAATTGACGTCTGTTTTACTCTGCTATACTGCTACACTGTTTTTTTTATTAATTTAATTTGAATTATCAACAAGCACTTCCATAAGCTTTAGAGTTTTAAATTATTCTCCCACTCCCTCCCCACCTTCTTCCCCAAGACCGCACACAATCTGACATAGGCTATACATATACCTTCCTATTAAACATCTTCACATTAGTGATGTTATAAGAATTAGAACAAAAAGGAGGAACCACCAGAAAGAGGAAACAAAACTCAGCAGAAGAGAAAATAAATAGCAATTCAACTTCCATAGTGCTTTCTTTGGATGTGGATAGCATTTTCCATCACGAGGCCTTGGGAGATTTCTTAAATCCTTGTATTGCTGGGAAGGGTTATGTTTATCAATATTAGTCATCACACAACGTGGCTGTTGTTGTATACGACATTCTCGTGGTTCTGCTCACTTCACTCAACATCAGACCGTACAAGTCATTCCAGGTTTTTCCGAAGTCAGCCTGTTCATCATTTCTTATAGCACAATAGTATTCCATTACATTCATATACCACAGCTTGCTCAGCCGTTTCCCAATTAATGGACATCCTCTCAATTTCTAATTCTTTGCCAACACAAAAAGAGCTGCTATGAATATTTTTATACATGTGAGTCCTTTGCCCATTCATATGATCTCTGGGATATAGCCCTAGAAGTGTTATTGCTGGGTCAAAGGTCAAAGGGTATGCACATTTTTATAGCCCTTTGGGCATAGTTCCAAATTGCTCTCCAAAATGGTTGGATCATTTCACAACTCCACCAACAATGCATTGGTGTTCCAATTTTCCCACATCTTCTCCACCATTTATCATTTTCTTGTTTTGTCATGTTGGCCAATCTGATAGGTATAATGTGGTAGCTCTGAGTTGTTTTGATTTGCATTTCTCTAATCAATAGAGATTTAGAACATTTTTTAATATGACTATAGATCACTTTAATTTCTTCATCTGAGAATTTCCTGTTCATGTCCTTTAACCATTTATCAATTGGGAAATGATTTGTATTCTTATAAATTTGACTTAATTTTCTATATACTTTAGAAATAAGGCCATTATCAGAGAGACTGGTTGTAAAAATTCCTTCCCAATTTTCTACTTTCCTTCTAATCTTGGTTACATTGGCTTTGTTTGCGCAAAAATTTTTCAATTTCATGTAATCAACATTATCCATTTTGATTTCTGTAATATTCTCTATCTCCTATTTCGTCATGGATTCTTCTGTTCTCCACAAATCTGATAGGTAAACTATTCCTTGCTCTCCCAGTTGGCTTACAATATCACCCTTTATATCTAAATCATGAAGCCATTTTGACTTTATTTTGGTATGTGGTGTAGTATTTTGATCTATGCCTAGTTTCTGCCATATTGTTTTTCAGTTTTCCCAGCAGTTTTTGTCAAAGAGTAGGTTCTTATCCCAGAAGCTGGAGTCTTGGGGTTTATCAAATAATAGATTATTATAGTCATTGACTACTGTGTCTTGTATACTTAACCTATTCCACTGATCTACCACTCTATTTCTTAGCTAGTATCAAGGAGTTTTGATGATTGCTGCTTTATAACACAATTTAAGATCTGAAATGGCTAGGCCACCTTCTCCTGCATTTCTTTTCATTAGTTCCTTTGATGTTCTGTACTTTTTGTTCTTCCAAATGAATCTTGTTATTATCTTTTCTAACTCTATACAATAATTTTTGGTAGTTTGATTGGTGTGGCATTGAATAAGTAAACTAGCTTAGGTAGAATTGTATTTTTATTATGTTAGCTCAGCCTACCCATGAGCAACTGATGTTTTTCCAGTTATTTAGATCTGACTTTATTTGTGTGAAAAGTGGTTTGCAATTGTGCTCATAGAGTTCCAAGGGTTTGTTTTGGGAGGTAGACTCCTAAATATTCTATAATGTCTAGAGTAAGTTTAAGTGAAATTTCTCTTTTTATCCCTTGTTGTTGGGCTTTATTGTTAATATATAGAAATACCGATGATTTATGTAGGTTTATTTTTCATCCTGCAACTTTGCTAAAATTGTTTATTATTTCAAGTAGGTTTTTCCTTGATTCTGCAGGATTCTCTAAGTACATCATCATATCATCTGCAAAGAGTGATAGCTTTGTTTCTTCTTTGCTTATTCTAATACCTTCAATTTATTTTTCTTCTCTTATTGCTAAAGCTAATATTTCCAGTATGATATTGAACAACAGTGTGGATAATGGACATCCTTGTTTCACCCTCGATCTTGTTGGAAATGCCTCTAGCTTGTCCTTATTACATAAGATACTTGCTGAAGGTTTTAGGTAGATGCTATTCATTATTTTAAGGAAGACTCCATTTATTCCTGTGCTCTCTAGTGTTTTTGATAGAAATGGATGTTGTATTTTGTCAAAAGCTTTTTCTGCATCAATTGAGATGATCATGTAGTTTCTGTTAGTTTTGGTATTGAAATGATCAATTGTGCTGACAGTTTTCCTAATATTGAACCAGACCTGCATACCTGGTATAAATCCTACCCGGTCATAGTGTATTATTCTTGTGATAAGTGGCTGTAATCTATTTGCTAATATTTTATTTAAAAATTTTGCATCTATATTCATTAGAGAAATTGGTCTATAATTTTCTTTCTCTGTTTTGACTCTTCCAGCTTTAGGTATCAGCACCATATTTGTATCATAAAAAGGGATTGGTAAGACTTCGTCTTCACCTATTTTCCCAAACAGTCTACGTAGTATTGGAATTAATTGTTCTTTAAATGTTTTATAGAAATCACTTGTAAATCCATCTGGTCCTCGAGTTTTTTCCTAGGGAGTTCATCAATGGCTTGTTCAATTTCTTTTTTTGAGATGGGGTTATTTAAGTATTTTACTTCTTCTATTAATCTGGGCAATTTATATTTTTATAAATGTGTATCCATTTCACTAAGATTGTCAAATTTATTGGCATACAGTTGGGCAAACTAGTTCCTAATTATTGTTTTTGGTGGTTGATTCACTCTTTTCATTCTTGATATGGGTAATTTGATGTTCTTCTTTCTTTTTTAATTAAATTAACCAAAGGTTTATCTA